ATATATTATTTTAGGAGGGAATTGACATCTTTCAAGTAGTTACTTCTAACTATCCAAGAAATACATATATCCAGCAATACATATTAAATGCTGTTCCATTTGTCTTCTTTTTTGTCACTTTTTAAAGTTCTCTATGCGTCATATAAGTTCTATATGTTTGCTAAGTATTTCCCAGGGATTTAAACTTTACATTGCTATTTTCAGTTTTTTCTTATTGTGTCTTTTAAACTGCTTATAGTTTATATATAGTTTATTATTTTATTATATATTTTTTATAAACTTCATTTTTGTAACCTTCAAAACTAAGAATCCTCTTAGTTGTATATTAATTCAAGTTATTTTCTTGGGTTTTCCGGGTATACAGTTTTATTGTGTGCAAATAATAACGTTGCCCCCTTTCTGTATTTGTAGCAAACATTTATTTCTCTGTTTAATTGCACTGGTTAGCATTTCCAGAGTAATGTGAAATAATCATGGTGTTAGGAAGCATCTAACTACATGCTAGACTTCATCGTAATGATTTTCGGTGTCAGGACATCAAGGTCTACTATAAGAACATGTGACTGCTATATTTATAATTTTGGAAACAGATAAAGGGAAAATAAAAGCAAAAGTATATGAGGTCAAGTAAGAGAATAGGACTAGAGTTTGGAATGTACATAATGGACAAATCTAGTGGGAGGAAATTGAAGTCAGTCCCCAGGTTGATGGGTTATGCTGCATGTCATTAGTATTTAACAGCCAGTTGTGCGTCTGGTCTGACAGGTGCTACAAAGATAAGGAAGATAACATCCACTGTGAAGGGCCTGTGGCCCAGGGGCACTCTGCGTGTTGATGAGTACAAATGAGGGGAACATCCTTACTGATTAGTGCAGTGGAAGCCCGAATGTTGTGTCCTGAGTTACAGTGTCATAGGATTTTATTAGAAGGCACCGTCACCTACCTCTACTGCTGCAGTTCCTGCACCTAGAATGGCCCTTGGCGTGGAGTAGGTGCTGAAGTCTGTCTTCATGAATGAATGAAGCCGCTTCACTGTTCCTTGTGGTTCTTGGCCAGTGTTATGGAGGAGGTGAGCCAGGTTTTTGCTGGTAGAGAGAGTGGGAGCAGAGGGGGATGCTGCTACTTGAAGAGTTTGCTACAGGGGGTCTGATTCCAGAGTTCAGGGCAAATCTGTTCTATCTGAGGTGTGGAGTGCTTACAGAGGAGTGAGGGGTTAGAGGGGAGGATGTGGAGGTGACTGAGAACAAAGCTTCCTTTCCTTTTTCTTTTTTTGAGACAAAGTCTTGCTCTGTCGCTCAGGCTGGAGTGCAGTGGCACGATCTGGCTCACTGCAACCTCCGCCTCCCGGGCTCAAGTGATTCTTGTGCCTCAGTAGCGCTACTACTCGGTGGTAGTAGTAGTAGCCTCCCGAGTAGCTGGGATTACAGGCGCACGCCACCACATCCAGCTAATTTTGGTATTTTTAGTAGAGACAGGGGTTCGCCGTGTTGGACAGGCTGATCTTGAACTCCTGACCTCAAGTGATCTGCCCGCCTCACCCTCCCAAAGTGCTGAGATTACAGGTGTAAGCCACCACACCTGGCCAAAAGCAGAGCTTTCTAAGTGATGCAGCATGGCGGGGTTCCAGTGGCTGAGATGTGGATTGCAGCCCTTGATGGCTGGCTGACCTAGACACCTCCTCCCACATTTTCTACTTTTTCCATGATGTTCTGGACAGGAAAGAGGCTTGTCACGGTGGTAACCCCCACGTTCATTCCTGCACTCCCTCTCTGCTCCATGGCTACCTGGGTTTAGGTCTCCTTGGTTAGGAAACTGTCGTGTGACCATGCCCAGCTACAAGGGGAGCCTGGACCAGTGAGGACAAGAGTTTTACTTTTCCAGCCACCGTAGGCAAAGAAAGGCAGGGAGAGGGGGCCTTAGGAGTGGATGCTGAGTCAGCCAATTGCAGTGTCTGCCCCAGAACCGTCCTATAAAAGCCATTTTCAAACTTTATTCATTGTATGTGAACATGTTTCAACATCTTTCACAAGTGGCTTTTAAATCGTTGTTAGTCATGGAAGCTTTGATTAGATGAACTCTTCTGAGGGAACCTGGCACGATGGGCATACCACGACACCAGCTCTCAGAGACTCAGATGGAGGGAGCCGGGCTGGGTGTCGTGGAAGCCCCTTGAAGCTCAGTGAAGAGGGTATTGGCAAAGAGTAGTTGAAAATGAAAACTTTTCATTTTTAGTTGAGATAAGATGGCAGTAAAAGTTACCACTATGAGGATTTGATTTTGCATTTAGCGATCCATTTTTGCTTTTCTTTTTTTTTTTTTTTTTTTTTTTTTTTTTTTTTTTGTGAGACGGAGTCTTGTTCTGTCACCCAGGCTGGAGTGCAGTGGCCGGATCTCAGCTCACTGCAAGCTCCTCCTTCGGGTTCACGCCATTCTCCTGCCTCAGCCTCCCAAGTAGCTGGGACTACAGGTGCCCACCACCTCGCCCGGCTAGTTTTTTGTATTTTTTAGTAGAGACGGGGTTTCACTATGTTAGCCAGGATGGTCTCGATCTCCTGACCTTGTGATCCACCCGTCTCGGCCTCCCGAAGTGCTGGGATTACAGGCTTGAGCCACCGTGCCCGGCCTGCTTTTCTTTTTTTAAAGTAGGAGAATATGTTTTGAACATTTAGAGATGGCCTCTTTATTGAAATACAAAACCTTGCCTGATTTGGGCTGGTGCTTAGATCCCTCAAGAAAAATTTCCACGTGGGAAACGAATTGCCACGTTAGTCTTCTCCAGAGATGCTGTCTGTCTCTAGAGTGGCTGTCTGCAGCCACTGCCACTCCAGTTGCCTTAGAATCGTGACTGGAATGATATTCCTAATTCCTAAAGCTAAAGGGAAAAGAAAAAAAAGCCAAAACAGCAAACCAGTCAGAAAACGTACATTAGATTTTTACATTGATTTCCAATGTACAAATTTCTGTTCTTTATAATCTTAGCAGAAGCCGGTGTCTCAGCAGAAGCAGAAGCAAATATCTTTAATTGAAGATATTTGGTTTCTGTGATAAGCAGGGTTTCCAGAAAACCACATATGAGAGCAGGAACCAATGCTGCTTTCTCTGCCTTCTAATCCCCGCAGTGAAGGACTGAGGAGCAGAAATGTGACCCTGAACCCCAACAGCCTGGGTGTCCACTGCAGCAGTCAGAGTGTCTGGCCTGGGCATGGCTGAAAGATTATTCTCCAGCTGTCTGGAGGGAGATATGACTCCCTTTTAGTAAAAATGTCACCAAAATTTATCTATGTTTTATGTTATTTCCAATTGATTCATTAGTAGAAGTAAATAAATTCCTGTTTCTCAGGGGAGATTCCTGGAAACCTAGAAACTTAACACAGAAAGGAAATTGGGTATGTACATAGCTACTCTTTTGAGCGTCTTTCATAATTTTTTATCTTTTAAAAAAGAGTGAAATCAGTGAAGTCGACAATTTTCATTATAGATGCTTGTGATTATTTCTACCTGATACGAAACTGGCTACAAGTTTGGGCTACTTATGGATATATTTACAAAAGTACTTAGAATCTTAATTTTGAGACATTTGACTTCCATAGCATTAATAAGTAAGTTATGTTACTATTTTAAAATAGTATTAAGAAATTATTATTATATTTAGAGATGAGATCTTACTCTATTGCCCAGGTTGAGTGCAGCTGGGTGATCATGGCTCACTATAAACTTGAGCTCCTGGGCTCAGGCAATCCTCCTGCCTCAGCCTGCCAAGTAGTGGTGACTCTAGGTTTCTGCTGCCATGCTCGGCTAATTTTTTTTTTTTCTTTAAAATTTCGTAGAAACAGAATCTTGCTTTTTTGGCCAGGCTGTTCCTGAACTCCTGGCCTCAAGTGATCCTCCTGCTGAGATTACAGGTATGAGTCACCGTTCCTAGTTAAGAAATTATTTTTGATAGTAGAATTATTGTTTAGTGGTTTCTGTGTTGCCTAATTATTTTCTTTTTTTCTTTTTCTTTTTTTTTTTTGAGACGGAGTCTCGCTCTGTCGCCCAGGCTGGAGTGCAGTGGCGTAATCTCGGCTCACTGCAAGCTCCGCCTCCCGGGTTCACGCCATTCTCCTGCCTCAGCCTCCTGAGTAGCTGGGACTACAGGCGCTGCCACCACGCCTGGCTAATTTTTGTACTTTTTTTGTAGAGGTGGGATTTCACTGTGTTAGCCAGGATGGTCTCGATCTCCTGACCTCGTGATCCACCCACCTTGGCCTACCAAAGTGCTGGGATTACAGGCATGAGCCACCGCGCCCAGCTGTTTCTTAAATTATTTTCTAAGAATTACTGCGCCATTTCCTTTACATAGTATGGAGTGTAGTGGCATGATCATGGCTCAGGGCTCACTGCAGCATTGAACTCCTGAAATCAGTTGTAATCGCAAAGTGCTGGGATTACAGGCGTGAGCTGCTGTGCCCAGCTAAAATTTTTTAAGCAATAGAAGGCCTGTCTGCATTGCCGAGTCTTCCTTGGGTGATGGTTCATCTGAGGATTGCCAGGAATGCCTGAAGCGCTGGGGAGGGAGGCTTAGGTTCTTGTCCTAGCCTTTCCTCCAATAGTCGACACCCCAGAGTGTGTGTATTCGTTTCTTTCTTCCCTTTCTTCTCCCTCTTTCTGTCTCTCTCCTTCCCCCCCTCTCTTTCACTCTCTCTTTCCCTCCCTCCCTTTCCTTCCTTTTACTTCCTTTCTTTTCTTTCTTTTGTGGATACAGGGTCTTGCTCTGTCATCCAAGCTGGAGTGCAGTGGCATGATCATAGTACACTGCATCCTCCAACTCTCGGGCTCTAGAGATCCTCTTGCCTCAGCCTCCAAATATCTGGGACTACAGGCTCATGCTACCAAGCCTGGCTAATTTTTAACATTTTTTGTAGAGACGAGATCTTGCTTTGTTGCCCAAGCTGGTCTCAAACTCCTGACCTCAAGTGATCCTCCTGCCTTGTCCTCCCAAAGCACTGAGATTACAGGTGTGAGCCACCACAACCAGCCTTGTTTTTATTTGTAAAACGATGAGATTGGTTGCTAGGTTATTGCTGTTGATTTTTCTGGAGTCAGGCCAGAGACTGGGTTCTGGGGAGGACCATAGGGTCCACGGGGTGTTGGAGGATGCAGAGGGTCCTAGGTGCCCGAACTCCTGGGTGTGCACCCACTTCCTGCAGTCCACTGAAGCTCTTCGGGTCCCCTGCGATTGTGATGACCATCTGGAGAAAAGGTTTCTCATCTTCCCTCTTATCAGACAGGACACTCAGATGAATCAGTTTTTATTTAAAATTTTGGCATTTTGCTTATCTTGGATTTTTATGCAGCAGTTTCTTTGTTCAATTATCACATTAAACTATTTCTCTTGACTACTGAGATTTTGGTCCTCCTTTAAATTTTGTGTCAGAGGCAAGTGTCTGTAACTCACCCCTGTTCCAGCCCTTGTAAACACTGTGATTCCTTGTAGTTTGTCATTAAAAATAGATATCAAAGCCAAGTAATTTGGAAGTTTAATCAAGAGATTCCAATGATGCGCTGGTAAGCGATGCCTGTTTATGCTCACTTAGTTGCTGGGCAATAGCACTTGTAAAAACCTGACAAAAACAGCTGGAAGGCAGACCTCAAAGCTGCTGCCAGTCTCTCCCCTTGGGGACAAAAGAAGCCTTTTGGTTTTTTAATCTTGGAAAGTAAATCATAAATGACCAAATATTGGATTAACTTACAAAAAATTTTTTTATTTTTGAGATAGTAAATGTAGTATCCTTACCGTTGAATTCCTCTTCATGGTGGCTGTGTATTAAAACTGGGATTTTGCATGGAAAATATTTCAAGATTTGCATGGATAATGGCTAACGTACTGTCTGGCTTGTTACATTTTAACTATAAAATTAAGTTGTTGTGCTATTTATTGTTATTTCTAAGGGACACCATGGAGAGCCATGTGTCCAGGGGGAGATAGGCGGTGAGGAGCATGGTGACTGATCTAGTTGGCACAGCTGAGATTTTTGCTGCTCCAGCAGTCATCTGGATTGGCTTGGAACTGGCTGTTTGTTGCTTCTTTCACAGGCTCAGAGTGTCTGGAGATCTTTTTAACTAGCCGAGACATGCTGTTACTCTGAGCAATTCTCCAGGCAGCCATGAGTGCAAAGGGAGTCTGTGCCAGGTGCCCAGCACTGCTATATATGGCAGAGAAGGGTGGCAGGGGAGGACCCACCATGCCCTTATCTGGGGGCTGCAGCCAGGCGTGATTGTGGGGGCAGTCACACAGCTTCCATGTGCTCCCAGACCAACCCTGTTTTTCCTCTCCCTCCTCCAACCTTGGCATTGATTCTAGACAGCCGATGTGCAGGTTCAATCTTCATATGAAATGGAACAGTGACTTCAAGTTCAGATGCCCATCACCGGCAGTGCTGTATGTACAATCTGTCAAGGCTAGTTAGGATGTCTTTGTGGCTCGAGAAAGTAGATTTTTAGATACGGGAGAGTTTGACTACTTGTGTTTGTGATTCTGTGCTCTCTGTTAATTGGCATGGGATTTTTGGACCTGAAATTTAGTGTAGATTTCAATTTATTTGGAAAGATAAGTGTGAGATTGAGGTGTGGTCTTCTGTGTGACAGGTACTGATTTATGTTGGAGTCTTATTAGGATAGATGCATCCCACATTCAGTTATATGTTTCTTAGGTGAATCAAAGAAGCTGATCTGAAGGTGTACCACCACCTTCTCTCCCAAGATGACAAACCTGTGTTGGGTCGTTGGTTGGGAGCAGTGCGAGTAAGAAGATGAACGCTGTTGACAAGTTGTGTGTCTAGTTCCTTAGGAAACCACTCACCCGGTGTTGAAGATGGCAGCAGAAGAGTACGGTGGCCTAGCATGGAGCTCTGCCATGCCTTTGGCTTTTTCTGTGAACGTGTTTTCATGGAACCTAGAGATTTTCTGGTTTGGGGAAGGATACAGTGGAAAAATAATAATGAGAAGATGATAAGATTTAATTGAATATTTGCTAAGTCCAGTGCATACTATTAGGCCTTCAACATATGAATTTATAATCCAGTGAATTAGATATTATGTTCCTTTCATACGAAAGGACATTGAGGCTTGGCAGTATTAATAAATGGCCGAGTGGTACTTGGCACCCAAGACTGTGTGACTCCGAAGCTCCTGCTTTCAGCGAAGGAGCGTGTGGTAGGAACGTAGGGTTCACAGTTTCAGATGTTGTAGCCTGCTGTGCCTTGTTGGTGATTGTAGATTCTTCACTATCAACATGGAGAGGCCTGCCTGCATTGTTTCCCTTCTTCTTTTGAAAAATTAGTTTTTACAGATAATTGCAAGCAATATAAAATTAAGGAATGCAATCTCTTCTTGATGCTTTACTCCCTAGTAGTGACTGGTATTAAAAAGCCTCCACAGTACAGGATGTGGGTAGATCAACCCAGGATTGGTTGGTTGGGATGTGGTACATTAGATCATCTATGAGATTCTCTGTTTTTTAGGTCAGAGTAATTGCCATTCATCTTATGATGCAGTTCTGCTTCCAGGACATTTAATGAACACGGAAACTGAAAAGTAAAGAACTTGGCCTGTAGGGTCTGTGAGACAGAGACCACCTATGGGAGCCATGTTGTGTAGAGGCCATCCAGCCAAGGACTGCAAACCTGGAGATCTGTTGTGGCAGTGGATTGGATTAATCCCTGTTAATCAGTCTGTTAATCTGTTGATCTCTCTCTGAACAATCTGTTTTGTTGAATTATTGCATTATAGTATTTATTGTGACTAGTGAGATTTTGGTCCCCCCTTGGCATTTAGTATCAGAGGCAAGTGCCTCTGATCTCACCCCAGTTCTGGCTCTTGTAAACTCTATGATTGTTTGTAGTTTGTCTTTAAAAATAGTTATCAAAGGTAAGTAATTTGGAGGTTTAATTGAGTGGAGGAAACTTGGAAGAACCAAGATTCCTATCTCTGTACATCAGTAGCATGCAGATATCATGTGAATTTTCATCCACCCAAGGTCGTTCTGGGGAGATTGAGACAAAAGAGTACAAACACCTTGAAAACTAAATAGGCAGTTCCTGTGCCAGGCAATGGGATGGGATTGTCTATTGCTTCTAAGTATTGTCACTGAACTTACTTGTTATGAATTTACCTTATTGTTATATTGTACGTTTTAAGAAATTTTGAAGTGTTTTATGTTCTAATGCTTGCAAAATCTGGAGTCATCCTGTGAGTTTACAAAAACCAGTAATGGTCTTTTTGAAGTATTTTATCAACTTTTGTTCATTTTTCTGTGTTGTATGTGCTTCATTAACTTCTGTTAAACTATAAGAGATTTCTCAGTAGTGTCTACTGAATCCGTACACGATGAGGGACAATATGATCCCAGGATCTTCTGCTCCACGGAAGCGGGTATCACAGTGGCACCGACCAGCATGGGAAGAGTTTTTGTGCCGACAGCAGGGCATTCTGTTTGTTCTGTGGTCCCTTTGTAGATGGCTGCACTCCTCTGCACAGGGACTGTCGCTTCTGCGTGTATTGGGGTCTTAAAAACCCCACACAAATGAGAATTAGATATTCCCTTTCTTCCTTACCCAGAATTTTTTTATAAATAAAAATAGGCCAGGTGCAGTGGCTCATGCCTGTAATCCCAGCACTTTGGGAGGCTGAGGCAGGAGGATTGCTTGAGCTCAGGAGTTCAAGACCAGCCTGGGCAGCATAGTGAGACTCTACCACTACAAGAAATAAAAGAACTTAGCCAGATGTGGTGGTGCATGCCTGTAGTCCCAGCTCCTAGGGAGGCTGAGGTGGGAGGATTACTTGAGCCCAGGAAGTTGGAAGCTGTAGCGGTTGCTGATCGACCACTGCACTCCGGCTTGCAACAAGAGATTCTCTCTCTCTTCCTTCTCTCATCCTCTTTCTTCTCTCTCTCTCTCTCTCCTTCTCTCGGCGCGGGTGGGGGAAATTGGCTTATGGAAACACAGCAGTTGACTTTTCCATAGGCAATTTGTAGGTTTGGCATTTTACTGCCTTTAGAGATGTAGTATTGAGTATAGTCTGTTAGCCTGTTGGTCTGCTCACCCACAAATAGGTCAGTTCCAAGAAGCTATAATATTTGTTTTAGAGGGAAAAAGTCTAGTGTAAACAAATTCTTTGCTTTTGTACTTCTGTTAAAAGTTGAACTCGAGTTAGTTGAGACACCAACATTACCTGCCTACTGTATTGTTCATATAGTGATAGTTTTGTGTTAAGTAGACTTTAGTCGAGCTTCACATTAAAAAAAATTTAACCACTGTTTACCCTACTGGGTGTAATTAGTAGGCTTTATCAATTTTCTTATCCTGTGAAGTCTAGATCTCAAAAGATATATGTCAATTTTTTGTTGTTCAGAATGAACATTCTGTCTGAATCAGTAGGAAAAGAGGGGAGGGAACGTGATTTGTTCTTCACATGACATAGAAGAGGCTGCTGAGGGAGGCCTTTGGAAGCCTCAGAACAGCTTGGTGTGAAAGTTGGGCTGCCCTGGGAGCTGACAGGTAGGAGGAGTGGGAGTGGGAGATGGGGGCGGGAGTCAGAAGAACAGCTCAGCACCGAACACGCTTTTTACAGTCCTGTCACTCACTGATGCTAGAAAACTGCATTTTGTTGGAATGGGCACAGTGATTGTCAAGGAAATTGTCTTGTGCTACTGCCACGGATTCAAAAGATTCTTGGGTCATGAAAGAGGTGGCATCAGAAGGATAGGTTTGTTGACAGGGAGACCAGATGCACTGATCCATTTTTTTATCCTTTTGCCTTCAGAGCATCCTTGTCTCCTTGAATTCACTGCTGTCTCAGAACCCAGGAGAGCTCTGGGAGCCCTCTCCTGCAGCTCAGCTCCCAGGGGGCTTTCCCAGCAGGCTGGGGCTGCCTCCCAGCCTGCCGTCTCTGCTGGAACCCCGGGGAGGCAGCCAGCTGCTATGGGATTGCCTCTTTTTCCTCTTGAAGTGGTTTCAGGTTTCCTCCCTTTCTCCTCTTGGGGTGGGGGCGGGAGGCTCTCACCAGCTGTCGCCTTTGTGTTTTTCTTTCTCTCCAGCTCAAGTCAGCTGACACCTTTCCTCTCTTCCCTTCCCTTCTCCATGAACTTGCACGGAGTCGCTGGCGGGTCAGTGTGTAGGAGGGTGAACCCTAGCAGCTGTCCTTGCCTGCCAACTTTGGTTCTGCTCTCCTCCTGACTTATCCTTTCCCCATTTCTTTGACAGAGATAGGGAATATTTTCCAGCAAGCTTAAGAAAATATTCCATGTGGTATGTACAGAGAGATCCTTTATGTGTAGAATCTTGCATAGGATTTAAGAGTACAGTGCATTGGGGTGTTTTCTGTCCCCTGCTCCCACTTTATTGAATATCATACTGAACTCAGTAGTTTAGGGTGCATTCCTAAGTTTAGGGAAAACTGTGGGGATCTTCTGATTCGTTCTAGAACATTCCGAAGCACCACTGAGGTTGCAGAAGATGGTTGATGGCAATAGGCCTGTGATACTTGTAGGGCAAGAGAAGGGGATATCACAGGACCTCTGGGACAGAGGGAAGCACTGAGGCCTTCTGCAGCTCTGCAACAAAGTTCCTGTGATTCCCTGCACTCCCTTCTCTCCCAGTACTCCTGGGATTTCAGCATTTTAATTAATATAAATCAGGTGGATGCTTATCTTGCTAGATTCCTCAGTAGTACTTGATATGGTTGATCCCTTCCTCATTTGTTGAACAGCTCTCTGGTTCAGTCATTCTTTAACGTAAACTTTTTATTTTAAAATAACTTTAGATTTATCAAAAACTGCAAAGATAGTACAGAGAGTGTACCCCTCACTCATCCTCTTTGCTACCATCACTGTGATGCATTTGTCAAAATGAACCAACGTTGACTTTAACTAAACTTCAGACTTTATTTGCTGTTCACCAGTTTTTCAATTAGTGGTTACTAATTCTATTCTATTACTCTTTCTATTCTAGGATCCAGTCCAGACGGCTAATTGCACTTAGTTTTCAACTTCATTTTATGTAATAAAAACTTTACCTACATTTCAGTAGTCGGTAATTTTGTTTGAGGAGGTGATCCCTTAAACAAAAGAAAGAAAGTGAGTTACTTCTTGCTAGCTGAAGTGTTACTTTACATCCATTTGTAAATTTTTGTTCAGATATATCAGTCATTACTATTTACTGAGCACCCCCATTTGTACTTGTTCTGGTTTTATGTTTTATGCTACAGTGTGCTCTAAACATTTTACTTATAAAATTAGCAGTCCTTTGTCTGAAGTGGCAATCGGCTTCCTCTCTTTGACCCCTTCTACCCCATTATTTTGAGACAGGGTCTTACTCTGTCACCCATCCTCGCCCTGACCTCTTCTGCCCCCTGTTTTTGAGACAGGGTCTCACTCTGTCACCC